TAGTGACCAAGAAAGATAATCGTTAAATATTGAATACATGAATGAAAAAGAAAATTCCAAGTGATATATTGTCTAATATTGAATATAAAAGTGCTTCATAGATCTATTGAATAATGAAAAATAATTGTACATATTTTTGTATTACAAAAGAATTTCTCTAGTTGACTATGATATTCCATTTATCAAGTTTTTTTTGTTCTTTATTCGCGACGACTTTAGCGCCTCGTAAGTTATAGTTCTGTTACGTAACGTCGAGGACATAATCACACATACACACAAACAAATATATTTAATGCTTTTAATGCAATTTCTTAAAGTTTTCAATATATGTTATTAATAACTAAATTGTTAAGAATGAAAACGAACTCTCTTAGATTTTCAAGTATGTTATTGCTCGTCGTGTAATTGTTAATCGACTTTATTGTGTACACTTTATAGGTTACTAATGTCTTTTATCTTAAAATATTTAATTATTTTCTTTTATTTTAAATTAAAAAATTCTTTACAATAGACTTTGTAATGAAGTATATTTTCAATCTCTCACAGAGTTCCATTGTACATCGACAAACATTATTTTCTTGATGATCGAATTCAAGAAGTGATTTTTAATGAAAGATAACAAAAAATGACGTCTTAATGAAAAAAAAAGTATCTCTAACAGTTAAACTTATTAAAAAATATATTTTTAAATGCCTCACGGCGCATTAATGGTTAAAAAAGTATATTTAATGTCGTTTCAAACCAATAATCGCTTGAAAATTGTTGAAACTGGTAGTATTAAAACTTTATTTATTACGAATTGATAGTGATCGAACAATACCGAAAATACGCAATTCAAAGTAGTTCTTATAAATGTAATTCTCCAATTTGCTGCTAACTCTAAAATAATGGTATTAGAATGACAACGATATTGGCCAATGTAATAGACCTGAGCAGAGTAAGGCATTTTAATATTAAATATCTTACACTGTCTTATCGTTTTTTATTAAATGAATTTGTAAATAAAATAATTTTAAACATTTTTAAAGTAGTAGAGCATTTGCCATTTTAAAAATTAATAGGTATATTTGATAAAATTAGCATTAAAAAATTGAAAGTTATGCCTGTACTGTGGCGTGTCAATTTTATCCGATACGGTGTACCTTTTAATTTTATTCAAACCTCGTTGGATTGTAGTGATAGGCATGGTTTTATTTCGTTTTGTTTGAAAAAAACACTTTAAAAATTTATATAGTATATTGAGCAGCGTTAATTTGGGAGTTTATACAAGATGAGTTGCAAAAGAAAAGTTCCCGTAAAATTTTATAACGTATAATTTCACCTCTTTATTGTAATAGAAAGAAAAACCCGCGCTGCGGAAGTGTGTGCCTTTATCCGATCGAATAAGCTTTTTCATAAAAAAAATAATTATAAAAGAACGATAAAATACTTAATAAATGCAACAAAACTGCGCGTGGTTCATATATTGACGGAAATATATTCTCGGTGTGTAATTTTCAACACAAAGTTTGTACATAATATATACAGTAAATAGTGACGACGATGATGACGACGCCAACGACGTGTGAAATGCTTTTACATTTTCGTTGTGATCAGCCTTTGATATATGTTATATTATTATAAAGTATAAGGGCGGCATGCAACAATTTACTATGGGAAAGTTGTGACCAGCGAATACAAGATTTTTCTTACTTTTTTATTGCGCAAGCATTGACTGTAACACGAAAGAAAAAAACAATAAGTGACTTTGAAAATATATTATTAACAAGCACTGCTTCATGTATGAACCGTTAAATCGAAATTCGCCAGTTTTTCAAAAACAATTACCGACAATCGACACGTCTTTTGTTTTTATCTATCTATAATAGAGTTTGTATTCTTCGAATAGCATATGAATAAATACCTAGATATTCTATAAATATTTCAATTATTGATCTAATACATTAATTACGTTACGAAACAAACAAACAAACAAACAAAAAAAGTTATTTTGTGTAATTAAAACAGTTTATGTGTTATTATATAATAGTATTCTAAACACTGCGAAATAAAGTATTTAAAAATTTATAAATAAAAAAGAACACGCGACGCGTTGGCATTCGTTTTTGGCCGTTTTCCTTCCCTCCTCCCCTTTCGCGTGCGAGTGCGCCCGCGCGTTCGAATTCTCAACGAAAAAATGAAGGGATGTTCGAATTCTCCGAACGCCGCCTGATATCTGGTGCGATCGTTGCGTAGTGTACGCGAGGGCAATGCACTGCACACGGCACAGCGCGATCTCTCTCGACTGCGGCGTCAGATGTCGCTGAAATTGCATTGCAATTCCTGGCAGCAGCAGCAGCGGCAGCAGTGCCTGCAAAGAACATCGGCAATGGTTTGCGAGTTATGTGCTGTTTGATGTTGCTGATGCGTGTTACTTTATGCCCCAGTGCTACGAACACTTCGTCGCATCGTCGATGTGAGTGGATGGATGTACATTTTTAAGCACTACCTTGTATGGCTTCTCCTGTTTTAGATGATATGTGTGGAACTTGGTGTCCTTTTCTTTTAGCATTGTGATGATTGGTATGCACGATTCGGAAGAAAGGGGTTATACTTTGACCTGATTATTGGCTAGGATTTTTAATAGGTACTTTCAATTTAACAAACAAAACTAAACAACATTGAATTTTATTCTATATCTAGTTTGTACAAAAATCTCAGCAAAGTAATTTAGTAGTTTCTGTGTGAGGTCTCTCCTCGTTGAATGTCACAGCCGGCGCAACATTCGTGCTCGCAGTCACGATACGGCGTACTACACGCATTGTTGAAACAAAGGCATTTTGGAGCAGTAAACATACACTGTGACGGGGAATACCCTGACTAAAAGCCGGCTATATTGTTCCACATGAGATGGTAGAGGTAGGCCGCGTTGCACAATATAACTCGTCAATGCCTTGCTTCAATGAGCTCCGGTGATGATCCCACGTACATGTACACGAGACTTGTACACTTTGAAAAAGCACGCGATGAAGATGTTGGAAGAGCAGATGGACATTCCCGCATGAGAAAATTTATTTTCCGAGTTCCTTTCATAAACCAAGCAGTTTTTCAAAAGTTAAAAAAAACTATACCATCGTTGTAACTTCATGACGGTGGCTCTTGTTTACAAGCATTTTACGAAATGCCCGGTAAAAGTCCTCTGCCAAAATTGGACTGTACGGGGGACGTGCATAAGCTGACTTATAAGGATTGTCCCGTGACGTATGTGGGTGAGACCAATTACGGACAGGCTAAAAGAACATCGGAAAATGCGTAATTCTGAGTCGGTTATTACATAACATAGACACTTACTCAAACATGAGTTTGATTGGGATAATGTGAGGATTTTGGATAGCGAGATAAATTTAGGCAGATAGCGATTTTCCAAGATGTTTCACATTAGACTACAAAAAAGAGTATAAATAAGAAAGAAGATATCCAGGTTCCTTAGTAGACTATACAGTATGTAATCCTCTTTTCAAAAAACTACAATAGTAATAACATTAGTATCGGTATATATTTGTACGCATACAGATTAATATTTTTGACTTTAGTGTAGACACTAACTTCACATAATTCATTTTGTAATTGCTTACATGAAAAGTGCTTACATGAAGAAAGACCAGAAGACGATCTAAAATGTCGTGATAAAATATTTTTAATACCACTCAAATTGTTTTGTGTTTAAAAATAATTTTATAATCCCATCAAGAGTAATATTTGATCAATTTTACAGGCATACAGACAAAGCTATCTTCGCGTGTACAATAGATGTATACTCCGAGGAAAAAAGTAAAAAAATTGATCATTTCGTGATTATAATAAAATTTAAAGCGTAAAGCATGAAAAAAAATTACAAATAAAAGATAGCTTGGCTGCTCGTTGATGAGATTTTCGCAGCTGCCCACCGTGGGGCAATACTTCTTTAAGAGCTTTATTGGCTCGCTGTTCCGTCTGTAAAGGCGATGACTCTGTTCTGTCCAATTAGAAGGTGAATAAGTTTTGTTATTGTACATGTCAAAGTCATCCTGTGCGTATGCAATGCCACCAGACGAGGCAGCCTATCCGAACCAGGGTGTACTATATCGATTCGCGTAAGAGGCCATCGTTGTGGGGGCTCTTAATCGTTGGTAAGTAAAACCAAATCACCAGGTTGCACTGCAGGCATCCGCTTGAGCTACTTCTGTTGCATGTGTTGAAGCACTACTCTCTGCCTTCGGCACCAAAAGTGATTGCGCATTTGGATGGTATGTCTTCATCGGGGCAGTTTTTTAGTTTGTTCCTCGTTGAACAGCTGAGGTGCTGACAAGAGCGAGTTTCCAATCAGGAAGTGCCCGGGTGGGACAGCGGTCGTATCTTGCGAATTTGAACTTAGAGGGCAAAGCGTGCTCGAGTTCAACAATTTAAGCGATAAGGGTGCTAAACTCTTCAAAAGTCAGAGATGCAACACCAACAACGTGTTTCTAATGAGTTTTAAAGGCATTGACCGCAATCTTACACAAACCACCAAATTGATAGGCCGTGGCAGTATACATTTCCATTGGGCTTCGTCTTAGGCAAACGGAATTATAACTTCTTGAATGGAGGTGGATAATTAATTAAAAAATTGGTGAAGCTCATCTGCAGAGCAAGCAAGATAACACGTATTACATTAGTTGTATGTGACCAAGTCGCAGGTCTGCTAGTCTGAGCCGTTTTATGGCGTGGAGACTGTACTTCGGTGAGAAACGAACCAATTACGAGCAGTGCAATTCTGCGGTACTCAATTGGGACTCGTGACCCCTTCTGAGGTAAGACTCTTGGATAGGCTACCCGGAGCCTCAGTGAAGAACTGATAGGGCGAGTACAGGCTAAGCACGACTCAACTATTTTTCTTTTATTAAAATTATTGCTTTCAAATGAATTTAAAAAATCCATAAATATCATCATTGAAGTCAAAATGACAAGAAAATTATGTAAAAATATACATTTTATTTTTTCAGACTATATAGAATTTTTAAATAATAAGGATATTCAATATTCTGAAGAAGAGTGGTCCGATTCTCTGTCATACCCAAACACTGGATTAGGTCACTTGACAGATTTCCAATCCACTTCGGAATTAACAAATATCAATGAAAATATTCAAAATAATTTTGAGGTATGCATATTCACATTACTATAGTTTTTTTTTATATTATAGTGCTTTTACCAGCTAAGGCATCTGCACTTACTTTATTTTAAAAGCATTAAATATTTACAATTTATAAAAAAAGAAAAACAAAATTAATTACAAAATAGCAAATAATATTCATTGAGACTTAATCTTGGGTCTTCGAGAACTGACTGCCATCATCAGACTCGCACTCCCAGCCCGATGAAGTAGTCGCATAACATTGTGCAAGCCTCAAAGATGTCAACTACTGCTTGATAAAGTTTAGTAATGGGTCTTAAAGTTTAACGCAATGTAGACAACAATGTGTGGCGAAAAACGTGCAAAAAAGGTCTGAAAATTGCTGTTTTTGGTGATTTTAGGCATTTTGGGCCTAGTTTTGAATATCAGCTGAAAAAGAAAATTCAACTTTGAAGCCCTGATAATCCAATAGGGTTGGACCTAGAGGGTTGAAACTTTCAGGATTTTTACTTTTCAATGTACTCTTCAAAAGTACATAGTTTGAGAAAAAAAATTTTTTTGACAATCACTCCAACTATGGCTTAGCTCGCATACTATCAGATTTTGCATGCGAAATAAGAGAAAGTACCTGTCAGCACCTGCTCGTCAGTGAGAACCTAACAACAGCTTCTGCTAATTTTTAGCGGATTGCTGAGTTCATTGCTCTTCCTGCTTAACTGACATCGCCTAAAGTCCAATCTATGACTTGTATTGCTTGTTTATTTCACACCTTTGTAAGAGGTGTTGGATTTGATGTATTTTTCATAGAACTCGATGTTTTACCAATTTTTATAGTTTTATTTTTCACATAGCTCTTTTTCGTCAGATCCCATCGGTCGCAGCTGGTGCGTCCGCTCACAGAGTGAACTTTCATGTTTACTGTTATTTTTCTATGAAAGAGTATAATAATAATTTATTTTAACTTGTTTTTGCCTTTACTGGCTTTACAAAGTGAGTTTCATAGAGTTAATACAATTTTAGGGCTTATGCAAGTATGTACATATATAGGTATTGTTTTGAGATTAGCGTCTTGGCTATCTTGTTTTAAGAATATGCTGTGACAAGGCTGAGTAGCTCACAACATATATGAAAAATTCTTTGGGTAGTTTTATATCTCGAGTTGCTGGGTTGTTCATGTAGTACTCTGTGTCCACCCTGTTACTGTGGGCACATGACCTTATGTGATTCTCCTCCCTTTCCTGTTTGAACGCACTGCAGTCAAAGAGCCAATGCAAGATGCTGACGTTGTCGATGTTGCAGTAGTGGCATGTGCAGTTGATTTCAAATCTTTAGCTTGCTTCTTTGAGTATAACTCTTGCTGAATGGATGTTAATTAGCTTCAACTGAGCCATGAATTTTTTTAGTTTGTGCGAACAGTTTCTGGACAGGTAAGAGTCAGCATTACAGCGAACTGGTATCCAGTTATTGATCAAGAGGGAAGTAGAATTCTCCAATCTTTCTAGGTCTTTATTTCGCAGGTGCTGTGCATATTTCCTGATTAGACTTTTCTTTGCCTTGGCGCTCGAGAGAAGATTCAAGTTTTCCCAGATGTTCAATTCGCCCATGGGCTCAAAGAATACAAAGTTCACTTGGGCCACCCAGTTGCTTTTATTATTATTGTTGTTGCGATTCTCTAGGAGTTTTTGCAGAGATATTTTCGGGTATCTGTTCGGCTCCAATCCTATTATGTGGCAGATGAAATTAAGCGTGAGTTTCAGTATTTTCATAGTCATGTGCTCTCTTCTGGCTTTTAGGTGCACAGCATATCCAAGCGTGCAGTCAGGGAGAGCCAAGACTCTCTTGAAAAATCTGCATTGAAATTGCTCCAGTAATTGTTTGCCGTTATTATTATTTTTATGAATATTATAATTGTTTATAGTAAAATAAGAGTGACGTGACACATACATCATCATTATATTACTAATTTATTGGTGAAAAATTTATTGAAAAAGGGCAACAGTACCCAAAACTTTATTATTTTGATTATAGCTTGTTTCCTACTTAAATTAATCGAATCAACTATCGAATCAATTGATATTGATATTTACAAATGTAAACGAGTCAAACTTAACTAGTTGTACTATAATTTTTTTTAACTATGATTCTAAGAATGAAATATATGAAACTATTATTGATACTTTATTACAAAAAAAAAATATGAGCTCAGGATTTTCCGATATGATTTACCGCTTTTGCTACTAAAATTGATGATATAAACAAACTTTTTCCAGGAATCAATTGATTTTTCAATGGGCCAAGATTCAGTGATGTATTCAGACTACGTTTGGAATGAACCTTATAATTCTGATGTTGAATATTTAAATGGTACTAACTCATTTTCGTTATATTCACAAAAAAATGAAAATGCATTTGAAACAATTGTATCCAACGGCGAGTTTAATAAACAAGTTGAAATCAAGTGAGTTACAAGCAAATATTTATGACAAATAAAATTTGAATTCCATGGTTTGTTTTTAAACCGATTAAAATATGACTTGAAATTTGTTTCTAAATTAAAAATAAAATATTATATTACTTACTTACAATAGGAAGTGTGACGTAAGCGGTTCAATGTCGCAACTTCTTACTACAATCAGAGTCTGATTGTAAAAGTACGTCACATTGTAGTACATATCGCGGCTCGCAAGTGCGCTTACAAATTTTTCCGTCACATTGTTAGTATTGTATGTCCACTATAAAGCGCACACTTTTCATGATCCAATAAAAATAGTAAGAGACACTATTGACTATATGTTATTTACATCAAATTGAAGGAAATTGTATGAAATTTATGAAATTAAACTCATACAAGCGATCAGAAATAAATTTCTTAATAAATAACCAACGAAAGTTATAAGTAAGAAAAAAGTTTTCGAAAAAAGGGTTAAAATGAACTTTTTTAGAGAGCTAATTTTTTTTCGAGGGTGTTTGCACGAAAAAAATTAACGTGAACTCTCATTCCTTTTCCAAAATGATTTATTTTCCGTCACTTGAAAAATTAATTTTGACGCTACAGCGTGTGGAGCGAATCATCTATAGCAACGCCAGCCAATAATGAGCAACTTCACCTGCATATGCTTTTTGACTTTGGAAATATAAAATAATCAAATCAGGTCACTTAAAATTGATAAAAAGGCTTGCATTTACCCTTGAATGCCGATTAAAAAATTATCAACCTCTGTTCGAGAAATATTCGAACAGGCACAAGCGCAAGGCTTGTACACACACGCATTCATGTGCTGTGCAAGCCTGCGCATGACTCTCACTGCGAAGCAAGAGATGGTATTGCGCCTCGGCACGGGCTAACGGCAACTCTGCTCTCTGCGCATTGTTTGCGCTCTCGTCCTTCTAGTTTTTGCACTCGGCCAATAAGCACCTCGCGTGTGTCACGTGCGACGACTACTTTCAACCTGCAACAAAATCCCAACGTCACCTCAATCAAAGCTACTTCAAGCATCATCTACAAGGACTTTTCACCAACTCGACTACTCCAGTTAACTCAACAATCAAGCTCATCTCATCGACACACTCATCAGACTCGACTCATCGGTCTGCGAATCGGAGTCAACTCATCAATTGCCACCAGGTAAAGACACCATCCAGGCTGTAATTGAAGACCAATAATGTCTACTGCAGGCCTAGTGGGATCTTTTTGTCATCATCTCAACTTTCGGGATTATTTTGGCGCATCTCAGTTGCACGAGCGCACGACGAGAGAAAGTGAGGTTACACGTTGCCATGTGCAATGTGAGAGGATTAATTTAATCTCATTCGTTGTGCTCTGGCCTTCTCACAAGTCAAGTTCGACTCGCTGTGAACGCAAGAGAAGCGTTGCACATCTCAAGTGCAACAACTCGCAGAAGACAAGTGTGAATTAATGCAATCTAGCTTCGCGTCTACTGCTTATATCATTGTACCAACTCTTGACGACTGATTGTGTAGTATAAATATAAGAGTGAATTTTTAAATCACAAAATTAATAGACCACTAATTGTGTTGCTGTAACAAAAGACACACATTTTATTAAAACAATTATTACACTAACTATTTACAAGCAGGTATACAATCCTATACCTGTAACAAAAGAAACGACAATTGAAGTCCATTAACAATTCACTCAACACAATATTCAATACTTTCTATACGACGTTCGATTTGACAGTCCCACCTTATTCATCTTCGTGTCTGCTATGGACCAATTGTCTCCCCTCTCATACCTTTAAAGGTAACGCGCGATTTGTCTGGAGCGCGGCAAAATTAAATTAAAGAAATACATTTTCTTTACATCTCCCGCCCACGAGGGGAAACCTTCTTCGACCGTATTTTATGTGGCCTCCTCTTGCGTTGCTGGTATCAATTTTGTGACGTGATACAGCGCTGTTTCTTGATTCTTTTTTCCAATATTAATTTCATATATAGAATTTGATATTCTCTCTTCCACTTTGAATGGTCCAATCCTTAATTCATCCATTTTCCTTCGATTCAATTTATTCCCGTTTTCAACAAATACAAATTCACCTTTCTTAAACTCATATTATTTTCTATTCTTGTCAAACACTGTTTTGTTGTATTCATGAGATTTTATTGAATTTTTTAATGCTGTTTCTCTACCTTTTATCCATTTATAGCTATCTGTAAATTTTTTTAAATTCTTTTGGTAAAATACTAATATCAGTTCCATCTAGTAAGTATTTTGGAACAAAACCTGTAACGGAGTGTTCTGTACTATTGTATTTTTCTACGCATTCTCTTGCTATCGTAGTCTAAGCTTTTTTTTCTCTACCTTCATTCATTTTACACCTCATTTTATTTACCAATGTTTGATTAAGTCTTTCATTCAAACCGTTGGAAAATGGTGCATTTACTGCCGTATAAATCAATTTAATTTTATTTTCTTCCAAAAATTGCTTAAATTCTCTCGAATTGATACCCGGGTATTGATCTGCGAGAATAGTTTCGATCCTGTCAGTCTCAAGTACTTGTTTCACTAATTTAATAAATTCCAATGCATTTAGTCCTGTTGCCGTTGATATGAATGCGTATCTCGTATAATGATATACTAATAAATGTAAATACTTTTTTGTTGATCGCTGTCCTCCAAACCCTCCTATCGTATCGATCAACATTATTTCGAATGGTCTAGTTGCCGGACCCAGATGTGACATCAATCCAAATTTCTTATGTCCTCTCGATTTATTTCTTTTGCATATATCACAATTCCTGCAAACAGTTTTTATGTTTTCAATGAATTTCTTAGCTGTATAATATGGACATAATTTTTCCATCATTTGTTTTATACCTATGTGACACCATTCTTTATAAATCTCTTTTATAAACTGTATACTATATTCGGTAGATAGAACTATTTTTTCTCTTTTTTTTATTTTTTTAAATATTATTCCATTTTTTTCTATAAAATTTATACTTTTATTTCTTTTTAAGCTTTCATTTTTTTCTTGATCATTTTTTATTAAATCCAATCTTATAGTATTCACTATTTTTAAAATATTTTGAGTTTCTTCCACTACTTCCAGCACGGGATTTCGACTCAAACAGTCTGCTTCACCATTATTTTTTCCAGGGTTGTATTTTATCTGAAAATCATACTGTGACAGATAATACGTTAGATCTCCCAGTTCCTCGTCTGTTCTTGCTTTAAGGGGAGTCATACACCAATTTACCCTCTTTGTCATTTTTTTTATATAAACCACAGTTTAATGTCAATCTACATTTTCTACATAAAATTGACATCTTTGAGCCCTAAAAAATGTGAAAAAAATTGAAGGATAGGCCTTTGCATCTAAACGAAGTTCATTTTTGCTATTTTAGCCTTTTGGCACTGTGCGCAAGGTTCAGATCAGAGTTTTTGGGTTGGAAGATCCTGATAGGTCTCAAAATCTTCAGAAAAGTATCCTTTATGGGCTGAGTTTTGTGAAATTTTGATTAGAGTTATAAAAAAGTTTGTATGCCAAAAGATGTGAAAAAAGAAAGATATAAAAAAAAGTTATCAATGTTTTTGAGCACACATTGAATAATAGAACTGATATGGAGGCCTAAATCAAAATTCCACAAAACTCAGCCCATAAAGGATACTTTTCTGAAGATTTTAAGACCTATCAGGATCTTCCAACCCAATAACTCTGATCTGAACCTTGCGCACAGTGCCAAAAGGCTAAAATAGCAAAAATGAACTTCGTTTAGATGCAAAGGCCTATTCTGCAATTTTTTTCACATTTTTTAGGGCTCAAAGATGTCATTTTTATGTAGAAAATGTAGATTGACATAAAACTGTGGTTTATATCAAAAAAATGGCAAAGAGGAGTGAATTGGTGTATGACTCCCCTTAATATTCATATTTTCCAAAGGTTTATGATCACTATATACACAATAAATTTTCTTCCAATTAACCGGTACTGCCAATATTTCACAGCCTCCTTTATTGCTAAACACTCAAGATAAATAGCTTTTTTCTTTCTTTGTGCTTCATTTAGCTTTCTAGAAACACTAATCACACAATTAATAGACCACTAATTGTGTTGCTGTAACAAAAGACACACATTTTATTAATGCTATGGACCAATTGTCTCTCCTCTCATACCTTTATAGGTAACGCGCGATTTGTCTGGAGCGCGGCAAAATTAAATTAAAGAAATACATTTTCTTTACATAAATACTATCAGTGTACACGACTTCTTCGCTATTGTTAATAATATTCTCAACATATAGACTTAGTTTGATTTAATAAATAGTGTTTTTGATAATAAAGAAAATAGTGAAAATGAAATGCATGTGACTTATGCAGTGTTTTTCTTTTGAGACCTGATCATGCGCCCATCCTTTTAATTAAGGCCTTTTTAATTTCAAGCGTTTTTCGAAAAAAGTATTCGACGGTCTTTGCACCGGTCGTGGTTGATCCATCTTACGTTACGTGTTTATCACAGCTACGAATAGTTGTACTCTTTCATAAGTTAACTTACAAGTGTATATTTATTTCATATTTCCATAAGTTGGGGTAATAATTACTTTTAGTTTTGTCTACTTACTAAAAATTACTTTCGACGACTTTTTCTCTTTATGAAATGTCTGTAGCACAAATACGGCACGTAACATTGCTACCAATGGATGTTCTCTGATTAGAAAAAAAAATTTTTGTCCACGGAGGTCGATAATTTTTTAATCGGCATTCGACGGTAAATGCAAGACTTTTTATCAATTTTAAGTGACTTTATTTGATTATATCATAATTCCAAAGTCAAAAAGCATATGCAGGGGAAGTTGCTCATTGTTGGCCGGCGTTGCCAAGGGAGTTTCGCACCACACTCTGTAGCGTCAAAATTAATTTTTTAAGTCACGGAAAATAAATCATTTTGGGAAAGATATGAGAGTTTTCGTTAATTTTTTTCATGCAAACACCGTCGA